CCCATGGCTCTGCAGGCCTCTGAGACCCTGAAGAGATCCCTTCCCTGATTATATCCAGCATTCTCTCACTCTGGTAGGAGACTGCCTTCCTTTCCTTGGGGCTTACTGAATACAAACCTCCAAGTACCTCTTTGGGAGGGTCCCCAGGAGGGAGGCTGGAGCCTGGGCCTACCTATAACACAGGCAAACACAAGTCTACTGAGACCTACCATATGCAGAGTTCCAGCCCTGGGAGCCCTTCAGAGCCCACATTCCCTCCTCAAAACCCAAAAACCCAAGAGGACTTCCTTCTGTCCTGAATAATGAAGCAGGGTCCCTGTCCCCTCCTCTTTGCTTATTGCAGCTGTGAGTTCTCTGTTCCTATCTGGGATTCTTGACTCCCTCAGCTTCCTTCCAAATGGGAAATTTTCCTCCCCTTCCCTTCTTTTCTCCTTTCTCCCTTTCAATCTCTTGACACCAAGGACTAAGTCTCCTATGGCAGGTATTTGGAACCCCCGAATTCAGAGGTAAATCAGGCTCCTCTCCAAGAAGACACCTGCCTGGCTCTCCTCTACCTTTTCCTCCCCAGAGAAGAGATTCTTTTACACCCCCCGGCTTTACCCCTTATGGAGGGAGGGGGAGGACCACCAGATGGGGCCAGGCCATGTGGGAAAGGAGGGAATAGATCTTAAGAAATGGGCAAGAGCCCTGGCCAGTGTGGCTCAGTTGGTTAGAGCTTCCTCCTGTACACTGAAAGGTCATGGGTTTCATCCCTGGTCAGGGCACATATCCAGGTTCCAGGGTGCATATGGGAGACAACCAATAGATATTTCTCTCTCACATCAATGTTTCTCTCTCTCTCTCCCTTTCTCCCTTCCTCCCTCTCCCTTCCTCTCTCACTGAAATCAACAAAAACATATCCTTGGGTGAGGATTTAAAAAAAAAGATTAATATAATTTTTTTAAGAAAGAAAGGGGCAAGAAGCTGGAGGTGGCTGCCCCAGTACCTTTTTCTTCCCCCAGAGCCTGAGCATGCCACAGCACTCGCCACTTATCATAAAGCCTTTAGAGCCTTTGCTGTCTGCTCCTCCCGAGGCAGGTGAAGACAGGGGCTCCTCCCTACCTATTCTCTTGTAGCAAGTGTGATTTTAGTCTACAAACGCAGGTGTGCAAGAATTACTGCATTTTAAAATGTCCTTTCAATGAACTTGGTTCCTATTCCAAACCCCTGCACCAGAGCACTGGTGAGAAACAGATCTCATCCACCAAGGGCTGTGCAAAAGTCATAGAAACAAGGCACAACGGCGGCTTCTTACCTGCCCCCTACCCCGTCCTATCATTGGACATCAATCTCGTCAATGAACGCTGTGGCCCCTGTGATTCCAGCAGGTATGACTCTCCTGGTCCTGGACTCTCAAACTCTTAGCTCTCTTTTTTGAGACATGGGAATTCACTTATGAAAACCTCTGGGCTTGGACTCGGTTTCCCCAGATATACCCTGGAGCCATGTCCTCAGGTCCTGCCACTTGCTTCATCACAGTCAGGGATTAGAGCCCATTGCCCACGCTGGCTGGGCCTACACACCGGTCCCCTCCACTGTTAAAAACCTCTCTCCAAACGCTGCCTGAGCCAGGCTCTTCAGGGCATAACCTCTTCACAGACTTGCTTTCAGCTTTTACGAAGATAGAAGGGCTTTTGACATCAGGATGCCCCTACTCTCAGCCCTGCCAAAACCCTTGCTTGTTTTAACAAGAAAAGAAGCACATAAGCAGAACAAATAAAGCTTTGTGTTTCACTAAATCATCCTGTCGCTCTGGTGGCCTGGTTTTTACCTCGCACCCGCCCGAGCAGGCCTGCGGCGGGTGATTCATTCCAGCAGAAGGGGAGAGGCCGCTCTCCGGGTCTGCCATCCTGTTCCTTCCGCTTTTTGTTCTTTTTGTAAGATGCATGATTCAAAAACAAACAAAAAACAACAACAAAACACCCAAAAAACAAATAATACATACTGTTTATTTATAAGGTTTAAAAATACCAAAAGGCTTATTCTGAACAGTATCCATTTACTACAACTTTTAACTCGTAAGCTACCTTTTCTAGGTGTTAGGGCCAAATGTATAAATACTCTGTTCGTACCTCTGTTTCTTGATTTATGTATTTTAAACATTACGAATTGACTGTGTAGTATTAAAAAATGGAGATTTAGCTCTCTTACCAACCCTCCTTTCCTGTCCCCCTATCCTCTAAACATAGTTATACCATTATAATTAGACCGTGATCAGAGTTTACATTATTATGGCCATGTAAATACTCACTGCAGAGTAAAGTAGTGTACTGTGCTTACTCTCCCTTTGTCACTCAGCTTTTTGTTTTTCTTAAAAGTTCCAATTGTTCTTCCTTTTAAAAAATACCTCTAGCCCATTCGAGCTGGCTCAGCAGTTGAGCGTCGACCTAGGATCCGGGAGATCACAGTTCAATTCCTCCATCAGGGCACATGCCCGGGTTGCAGGCTAGATCCCCAGTTGGGGGCCTGCAGCAGGCAGCCCATCAATGACTCATCATTGATGTTTCTATCTTTCTCCCTCCCTCTCCCTTCTTCTCTCTGAAATCAATGAAGATATATTTAAAAAATAAAAATAAAAAAATAAAAAATACCTCTATTTGCCATTATCAGAGCCTCAATATTTTTGAAATACTTCATTATATTGGGATTAAAGACTAAATGTTTAAAATACTATGTAAGCCCGGCCGGGCGTGGCTCAGCGGTTGAGCGTTGACCTGGGATCCAGGCGATCGCAGTTCGATTCCCGGTCAGGGCACATGCCCGGTTGTGGTCTCAATCAATGACCCTCTCATCATCGATGTTTCTCTCTCTCTCTCCCTCTCCTTTCCTCTCTCTGAAATCAATAAAGATATATTTTTAAAAAATAAAAAAATAATAATAAAATACTATGTAATAGAAGGAAATATAAGTGAGTGTGTTTATAACCTTGAGGTAGAAAAGAAACTCTTAAACAAGATGTAAAACCATAGAGCATAAATCATAAGGGAAAAGCCCTGGCCAGTGTGGCTCAGTTGGTTGGGCATCATCTAGGGCACTGAAAGGTTGCTGGTTCCATTCCTGTCAGGGCACATGCCCAGGTTTTCATCTATATCCCCAGTAGGGAGCATGCATGAGGCAGCTGATGGATGTCCCACTGTGACATCAACATTTCTCTCTCTCCCTCTTCCTTCCTCTCTTTCTGAAAATCAATTTTAAAATCTTTTAAAAAAATCATGAGGAAAGATCAACACCATTAAATTAAAAAACAAGTAGGAGTTCAGGGTAAAAGTGACAAATTAAACACATGTGTTTATATTCACTCTTTCCTGAGCTCTTACTAAAACTACAGTAATTGTTTCTGATGTGTGTGGTTTTTTTGTTTGTTTGTATATATCTTTATTGATTTCAGAAAGAGGAAGAGAGAGAAATAGAAACATCAATGATGAGAGAGTCATTGATCGGCTGCTGCTGCAGGCCCCCAACTGGGGATCAAGCCCGCAGCCTGGGCATTTGCCCTGACCTGGAATCAAACCTCAATCTCCTGGATTCCAGGGTCAATGCTCAACCGCTGAGTCATGCCTGGCTGGGCTCTGATGTGTGTTGTGTGTATAGACATAAATCCACAAGGATCTAAATGGGAGATGGGATAAAGGTAACTTTCCAGAAAACTGCTGCTTAAACAAGTAAATATTTCAGTATAAAATAGATATAAAGCAAAAAACAATATTATAAATTTGGAGGACTCTCAATGCCTTGCCCATGCATACAGTAAAAATATTTTACTAAATACTAGTACACTAGTGTTCAACAGGAACACAATTAATGGTTTCTACTATTTATAAATATATGTAAAAGGAAAAGAAGAAAAAATTCTAAGGATCAACCATCTCCAAAATGTACAAAATCATCATTGCCCCAAACATGAAAACTCAATGTAATCCCTGAATCCTGAGTTTTCCTTCAATACTGAAACATTCCATCGTTTTAAAACTGAGTCATCACTATCTTCTAGCAATGTTATCCTGAGGGTCATCCAGAAAATTACTAAAATCATGTTTTTAAATATTTTACCACTATCTCTTCCATGAAATGATAACACACACATGCTTATAAAATGGTGGGCCAGCTCCTTCTTATCAGTGTTGCCTCAGAATCTGAAGCCTCCAGCTTCCCGTGGTTCGCTCCTTCCTAACGAATCCTTTAAAGGCTTCTTTGATACAAATGTAAAGAATAAGTCAGGCTACTAAGATCTCCCAGAATTACAGATCATAGAAACACCTTAACCTGAGTCATGTGAACCTGAAACTAATTCTAAACTAA